ATCGATTATGGTTTTGAGCCGCAAGTCTGCAATTATTCCAGCCATCATTGTTAACATGGCCTAATTGTTAAACGCTTGACAGAAACGTGGCTACAAACATAAAGGAACTGAATATGCTAAGCAATTTGGGTTTTGGGGCTTGGGTTTGGGTTTGGGTTTGGTTTTGGTTAACTCTGCCCCCCAGAAGCATAAGCAGTTGCAGCAGCTGCTTGCAGCGACCTCAGGTCAAAACTCAGCAAAACACCAAACCAAACTAAACCATCCATGCCCCTCCTCATTCTCCTCATTACCACAAGCGGCAAGTAGTAGTGCAAGTATGCCTAATGAGGGGGCGTGGGGCAGTGCATTTCGGTGTGGGGTTGAATGGGTGAATTGGGTTTTGGGTTGGGATGGGATGCCAACGGTGGCCGCACAACAAACAAAGCAGCCTGCCGAAAGGAGCAAAGGGCAAATAATCCTTCAATCCACACTAACGGGCTAAGCAACTCAGGCGATTGCCCAATTTCACTCTCCAGTGTGTGTGTGTGTGTTAATGAAGTGCTATGAGGTCAGCCCCTGGATAGAGGTCAGAGTTCTTCCCCACAAAAAAAGGAACTCTTAGTTTTAAAACTTTTAAATTTTCATACCATTCTAGAAACTAAAAACCTTATATAGTTTATTTTCCTTTTTTTTAAGCTCTTGCCTTGAAAACAAAAGTGGCACAAAAATGACATTACACAAAAGTGGATTTATTTAGTTTATTTGCAGCATATCAGCAGCCATAACTGTCAAGGATATGTGTTGTAGTTGTAGTTGTAGTTGTTGCTATTGTTGTTGCAAATGGAAAGAGTTGAGAGAACAGAGGGTGGTATGGTGGGGTGTTAGCTCAAGATCTAGAGCGACCATCATCATCAATCATTTTGATTTGCGCTAAAAACTATGCTATGTTTTGTTACAACAATCCAGCTATAAATACACCAACACCATAAGACGATAAACAACACTGGCAACACCAATAACAACAACAACTGGGGGGAAAAGGCAATTGCCAGACAGAAATGACAACAACAATTCATGTCGACAAGTTGCACTGGCATTTCTCCCTGTTTTTTTTTTTACATCTTTATACAAATTTGTTGTAGCTACCCTACCACCCTCCTGCTACTGGGTAGTATTTTCTGGTATTTTCAGGATATTATCCATCCAGGGCCAGGACATGCATGGCATTAGAAGGCGAAACATTAATGGAGAAGTGGCACAGAAGGGCATATTCGGGAAGGAAAAGTATTTTTACTGCTTGGCTCGTAAAGCTGCTTGTCAAATATTTTGTGTTGCATTTTAAACATATTGCTCGAGGACGCAGCTTGCTTCACCATCATCCCTACTCTGCAGAGGATGTACATATATATATATATATCTATGTATATGTAAGGAAAGACATAATGAAATTTTAATTAAGCTCAAGCAGCAAGCAAAATTAAAAGACGAAATGTGCGTCTTTTAATTCAATTTATAATTACACTCAGTAGAAGGCAGTTGGGATGGATGGATGGAGTATGCCAGTTGGGAAGGTACAACCTGTGTGGGGAAAAACGGATCGTTCTGTCTCTCTACCTGTCTCTCTCCGGCCATCATGCTAGCCATCTCTTTCTCATTCTTACCAGCCATTTCTCATCGTAGCGACTTCGTAGTCGCTTTCGCATTCGCGCGAATCAATTAAAAAGACATTTGCGAAAATGTTGCCAAGGCAAATTGAAACTGAAACGACAACACGAATGCTTAAATGAGCGAATAAACGAAGATGGTAATGCTGTGCAGCGGTACGATAGAGATGGGTATACTATAGTCAGAAAGAGTCGGGTAGAGAGAGTGAATGCATAAATGAATGCCACATTGCACGAATGAATGATGATTGTCCCGCTGAAAATGATGATGATGATGATGATGGCGGAGGTACAAGTGTGAATCCGAATGTACGACTCAAGACGTTCAGCAATTTTCCACCCTGCCACCTCGACCCCCCTCCCCTTCCTCCAACCATCGTCCGACCATCGTCCGACCATTAATGTAATTCAATAACCTCCATCTGGCCAGTCGGCCATGATGATTGTTGATTGTTTTACGAAAATATGCAATTAATAATTGGCACTGCGTAATATGCAATTTTTAAGGTTTCCAAATTGCATTTAAATATGGTGGGGATTTCGATTTTTTAAAGGGAACTTAAAGGGGACCCTTTTAAAAAAATTTCGAAATTTCAAAAGATGTTCCTAATCTTCTTGGGTTCTTCTTAACTGATCACATGACAATTGTCGCATTACTGCACCATCCGCAGCTGCTCCATGAGCCACACACACACAAGCTGAGCCATTTGTGAACATAATCCCCCCTGTCACATCCTTTCTCAATCGCCATATCCATACCCATACCCCATACCATCCACCACCCAGGAGGAACTCTACACATCCTGGCCAAGAGACATAAATCAAAAAACTCAACGAAAAGCTTCAAACGTTCAATATGAGAATGCCTTGCCACTCATACCCGCAATTCCTTGGGGCATTTCTCATTTCTCAAAGCCATTTCCATAGCCAGATATAGTAGCTAGTAGCAAGAAGTGGTAGTGGTGGCAGTGGGGGGTACTGCTACTATTACTATTACCTCTTTCCATTACCATTTCCATTCCCAATTGCACTAATCTCATGCCATGCAGCTGTCCCCCATTTCGCATTTCGCATTTCGCTTTCGCTGAAAACTTTCTAATAATTTCTATTTGAAAGCCAAAAGCCCGGGCAAAAGTTGTGCGTGGTGTGGAAAACTGTCATAATTCATAAGTCGCCCGGCGGCCCCAGTCGCCGTTGCCGTCACCGTCACTATCACCGTCACCGTCGCCAAAAGTCAAAATCTAAAACTCGAAAAACCCCAAAAACCCAAACCCCATGCCCAGAACCTAAAACCCAGAGAACCTCCAACCTAGAACCGAAACTGAAACTGAAAACTGAAACTAAGGGGGGAGGAAAAAGCGGAGCATCTCCGGCTGTCTGTGTATAATTACATGGTTCAACTGTCACGGCGGAAAACAAATAAATGAGTTTCGTTTAGGGAACCAGAGAGAGGATGGAACTGGCGGCGGAGGGGGTGGACCAAAAAGTTTTGAAACCCCCCCCCCGCACCAGACCCCATTATCCCTTTATCCCTTTGTGCAACTTATATCCATCGATCCACGTTTCTGGGAAACACACTTTTTATTTTTATTGGTGACATAAATGCATTCCCTTCGTCCTAGAAACACACATACACAGAGTCGCACAGGACTCTGATCCATCAATCGATTGAAAGGGCTATATGGAATCGATGTAAAATATCTAAAAGTGAATCAATATAAATGCCACCTGCTTGCGATTCAAACAAAAATTAATTCAGATTGCAATTCCTTTGAATTATACGCATCACCAAACTATGATTTCTCATGAAATATTAATGCCGGCATGCGACATTTGATATTTGGATGATGGGGATGGGATCCTGGCGTGTCTGGCTGTCCTGGCTATCCTGGCTATCCTGGCTATCCAGCCTGCCCTGGCTTTTGTTTCAAAACGTTCAACTATCTCAGTCGTAGAGCCTGACCAACTTCGTTATCATTGTCAACATGCCATTGAGTCTCGATTCTCGATTCCTGATTCCCGATTCCCTTGTCCTGCTGCTTGGGGCGGCGTATCCTTGCCCCAGAGAGAGGGAGAGAGTCCTTCGCCATCGCCTCGGCATAATCAGAGCAATTTCAAAGTTGCGTCTGTCAGAAAGGCATCGAAATTTTTTGTTTGGCCCACCGTCGCCATGTCGCCCTCCCAAAAAACTCACCTATTTTTTTTGCTTTCCTTTTTGCCTTTTTTTTTTGTGGCTTTTTTTTTTGTTGGCACTTCCTTTTTGACACCGGCGTTCCGCTACGTTTCACGGCTGCCATTTCACCTGGCTTCACGTCCACATTCAGAGGTCCACGTTCTCATCCTTCGTCCGCCATCTCGCCCCATGTCCTTTTTGCCGTGTCTATCAATGCTGTACGATTGTCCTGGCTGCCGCTTGTCAGCCGGAAAATGTGAATTTATCACACGAGCACGTACGCATATTCCCCGCCAATGCCACACCATTGTCCCACTTTCATTTCTTTTTTTTTTGTATTTCAGAAACCGGACTCTACGCTCGACTCTGTCGTGTTTTCGGTTGAGTGGCTGCCCCCGTCGCACTCAGATTAGTTAATATTCGCATTTGAATATGAGCAGCAGGTCAATGGGGGGTCACTTATCTGGAAGAGCTTGGAAAAGCACACCGATTTCGGGGCTTTGTGCTCCTCTTAGCGCCTCTCTACACGCTTCTCACATTCCCCAGCTAAAAGCAAGAAATCTGAACTGAAATCTGCAACGGCATCAGCATGAGCATCAGCATCACCAGGAGTGTCTTAATTGCATCCTGCTGCTGGCAAATTCACTTCTGCCACAATTAAGAGCCAATTTTGCAGTGCACTCGGCCCGAGGGGGCTTTCTAATCAGCGCGACAGGCGGTTGTCGCGGTTGTCGGCCGATGTCGCCTCTTTTTCGCATCTCTCCTTTTGTTTCCGCAATGCAATTCAAATGCCAGACATTCGCTAACAGACTACCAAAGTGTGCAGTACACTGGGAGAAACGATCTGAAATTAAATTAATTTTTTCATACTCTAAAAAAGTGGGAAAGAAAGTTCCTCTTTTTAGAAATTATTGCAGACTTTGAAAGTCTATAATTTGCAGACTTCCTATTATATTCTATATTATATATTACCTACCATTTTCTATAAAAAGTGATACAATATCATAGAGCTGATACTAATCTTTTTTTATGAAAGAAACTATTTTATTTTTTCCCAAACGACTTAAAACTTTACAAAAACGTCTTACTAACTAAAATCTTAATAAATGAAACAACATTTTCTTAAAGATCTAATTTTTATTATAATATAATTCTACGAATTAAAGCCTTTAAAAACTACAACATATTTTTTCGAATTTTAAAAAAGAAAACCCTTATATTTGGTTCTCTGTACACAAAATCTTTTGTTACTCAAGGCTGGCGGATGCCTCTATGTCGGCTGCCGTTGGCTAATGAAATTTCGCTCCAAAAAACAGTCACGCTGCGAGGTAGTGGCTTTAGTTCGGAAAGAATCGCTTCAGCAGGTCCCTCCATATTATTTTGGTGGTGATCAGCAGGGGATCCCCATCCTTGGCCAGCACGTCCGGATTGGGGCTACTCTGGCGATAGAAGTGCGGCGGCAAGAGCTTCCCTTTGCCCATGACTGTCAGATGGTGGGCCATAAAGGCATCTGGGTATGGGTTGCGACGATTAGCGTTGCCATTTCTTGGCAAGATCTCGAACAATTCCCTGGCGGGCTTTCTCCAAATCTTGGTGGGAGGTGGCGGGAGCTTGTTCTGCAATAGCTGCTCCTCGAGAGCGGTGAGTCTCTTGGGGGCCGGCACCCAAATGAAGTGACGGGTCTGGAGGACGTCCTGCCAGTGCATGCGATTGGCACGGCATATTTGGCCAATGCTGGTGTCGTACCTCAAGGCCAGCCGGGTCATAGTGTCATCGCTGGAAACGTGATGACGAACCCAGCCCTCCAACTCGCCACCACAGATATTGGGTGCATTACCCAAACAGGACCTTTCATTTTCCACGCTATTCATGGCTTTAATTTGTCTTTATGATCACAAATTTGTTTTTTTGGGCCGTTTTGGGAAAAATTTTGTACAATTTTTGTAAAATTTTTGGAAAAATTTTGTAAAAATAGGAACCTCACAAGATAGTGAGTACGTCGTGTAGTATGTCTCGGATTTTTCTCTGATGGCTAAGGCGAGGCCAACCCCGGAGTATATTGTATTGTGAAAATGTATCATTATTTTCGACATGCTCCACTGGATTTTGAGACTCTTTTGATGCTCAGAAGGGTATGTATGTATGTATGTGGGATGTCTCGTCGTATTCGATTCGCGGCTTATGCAAATTACTTGGCATACATTTTTGCCTCGAATGCCTCGTTCGCGGTGCGTCGTCTGCGTAATCAACTCATGGGCCAACGCTGCGTATACGTAATCAACTCTGTGCAAGTGCATAATACGCCCCGTTGACTGGGTCAACCGCAAAGGTGTCGTCATGTTGGTTCGCAATTTTTAAGGTTTAAGACTTTTATGTCTTCCATCCCGGTTTTTCCATCTTTCCGCACCTTTCAATCAATAATTCACGGATTAGTCATGGTCATGTTCAGTGGGCATCTAAGGAAGTAATAATATTTTTTTTTTTTGAAAATTATTCAAAATTGATCAGAATTAAAAGATCAGAAATTGATCAATAATTGTGGTCTATATCTTAAAAATATGAAACAAATTTTTAAACCAAAACAAAAGCCTAACAAATTCTACAACAAACATAAATATAAAACATGTTATCCATTGAACCTTTAAACGTTATTCTAAATAAAGTTTCCCCTTCAACCTGTTCTCACTTCCGCTTTCAATTGGATTTGTTTACTTTGCATTAGATGGCTTTGAGACTCAATTTGATTTTGCCAACTCAAGAAAAAAAAAGAAAATACATAGAAAAAGGCTGAGAAGGCCATGAAGGCCAAGAAGGAGTCTAAGGAGGCGAGAACCCCTATATTGCCATATATCTAACACCCCCAGATCCAAGCAATTTTCATTCGTTTGCCAACGGCTTCATTTGCCAGCCATAAAATATGCGAAATTGATATGAATGACAAAAAAAAAAAAAAAGGAAGAATAAGGAGAACCTCCGAACAGGAAAAGGATTCGCTTCCCCGCATCCTGCCCATTTGCCAGGATTTGCTCGAAAGTATCCTTGTATCGGATTTCTATGCTAGGGGTTGGGGAGGAACATGAAAAAAAATAAGACGAAGGCGTAATCTAGTGTGAAGTCATTTGACTGAATACATTTAATATGGCATGAAATAAATGAAATAGATTATATTCAAATTATATAAGGGCTTTAAATTAAAGAATATTTGCTGACTCCTTTAGAATCTTAATACTCGGTCATAGTTCTAGACCTTATTCCTTTAAAACTAGAACTAGAAAGTCCCCAAATAACTTTTCAAATTCTTTACCCAAAATACCTCATATAAAATCTCAAAGTATCTCATTAACTTTTTATCTTAAATATTTATTTACAAATTACTTTACATTATATCGGATTTGAATAGCATCTCTACCACAGAAACTTGCCACTGGCAAAGATATTGTAGAACGTGGCGCAGAAAAAAAAAACACCGCCTGATATATAGAACACAATCCTCCAGTTCTCCACCGTGGGCCCGTTGTTGATCACATGTCCCGCCACCATCGGAGCCAACAGACCCACCAGATTGGCACAACAGTTAGTAATGGAGATCAGTAGGCCGGCAAATCGCGGCGATATATCCAGATGATTGATCTTGAAGCCCGAATAGATGGCGCCGTTGAGGCCCAGGCCGAGCACAAAGACACCACAGGTAAGGGCGAGACTGTGATGGGCAAAGCCCACGGAGATGAGGGCCAGGGCCGGGCCGTACTGCCCGATGCTGTTCATCATTTTGCGGGTAATAGTGACGGAGAACGACCGCTTGATGAGGCAATCCGCTACGAAGCCAAACACCATGGCCAGTATCCACATGGCCACGTACGGAAGCGCGGATACAAAGCCATTCGCCCGGATGTTGACCTTGAGGACACTGTCCATGTATGTCGGCAGCATAGTCATTAGCGTCTCGTAGCCATAGTTCTGTCCGACATGGGCCACCAGGATCGCATAGAAGGGCATCGCTCGGAAGATCTTCAGAAGTGGCATCGGTCCCGAATCCTCCGGCTGTGCCTTCCAAATTGTCTCCGTGATGTGCCGCCGCTCAGCAGGCGATATCCTGGAGCTCATATCCGGATTCTCGTCCACTAAACACAGAAAGATAATGCACCAAACGGTGCTGACGGCCCCAAAGACATAGAAGATCGATGGCCAGCCGCCATCGAAGCCGTGCTCCGCCAGCAAGCCGCTCAACGGCATAGAGATGATCGTACCGAACTGGGCACCGGCATAGACAATGGCACCCGCCCGAGAGCGCTCCGCGGGTGGTATCCACTGAGCCAGCAGGGAGTGGGAGCAGGGCACAATGGGACCCTCGCCCAGGCCCTGGATGAACCGGACAACACAGAGGCCGATATAGCCGCCGGCCCGGGCGGAAATGGGCACCAGAAAGGCGGACAGCGAATTGATCAGCATGCCCCAGCCGAGAAAGTGCTTGGCCCCGTAGTACTTGATGAGGAAGCCGAACGGGATCTGGGTTATTACGTAGCCGTAAAAGAAGCTGGACAGGATGTAGCCCTGCAGCTTGTAGCTCCAGTCAAACTCGCCCTTGCCCTCATTGCCCTTGCTCTGCACCATGGCCACGATCGCCACCGACATGTTTGTTCGCATCACGTAGGCATTGGCCATTCCCAGGAAGAGCATCATCAGGACGAAGCAGCGGGTCCGACGCCATGTGGCTATCTCTCCATCATTGGAATACTTGTCTCCTTCCGTCCCCTTGACCACCTTCTCCTTGTCCTTCTCAGCCATTAAGTAAGCGCCAAAAATATCTGCCAAGCTTTCTGATCTTGTCTTGCGTTTTTAACACAGAATTTCGTTACAAGGATTTACTCTGATTATTTACACATTTTCTTTTCCTTCTCGAGGATCCATGCAAAGGATCGATTCTGAAGAAAACAAAAACAGTGTACAGTGCAAAAAATCTTGGTCGAATACGCTTTAGTATAAATTTTTCAGGCTTATCATTTTGATTGGTTTGTGCTTGGTAAACCTGTATGTATACAAATTGAATGAAAAATGTTTTTAAATCAAAGGACACTGGACTATTTTCCATTTAATCTCTGACTTGTAAGCCATTAAACTTTTTTTTTCCTTTCTTTTCAGCCACAAGTTGGAGGAGAATCAGGTTAAACACCCGCGACACGCGACTAAGGACTAAGGACTACTTGCTACAGGCTGCTGGATGCTGGATGCTGCCTGCTGGCTAAGGACTTGGGGACACAGGACATGACAGCGATGATGTCTACATCATGTGGCCCACATTCACATCCTTGGGTCGAAGGGGAAGCGTTCCAGCAAGTTTAAGCAGCTTAAGTTTCATTGCAACAATAATTTGCGTGCGGAGCGGCATGGGAATGGGAATGGGTGAGTTCCAAAAGATAGCTCCTATATATAGCCATCGCCGTAGCCGTAGCTATAGCTATAGGTATAGTCGTTGTCGTATCCCGCAGATACAGATACAGATGCGCAGGTGTTCGCCGAGATACACAGACACAGACACAGACACACCTGGCCACAAAATGTTCGCCACTCTTGTAATAAGCAGCGCACAAGGACATGCCAAAAGGGATATATGTGTTCTATGTGTGTGTGTGTGGGAGAGAGGAGGAGCAAGAGGGTGGGTGGGTCTTGGCCAAGTTGTTGGCGGAACAGTTGGCCAGAATGTTAACTTGTCTGCACGTTTCGTTTTGTCGCCAGTGAAGCGACTAGATAGGGCGGGACATGTAATTGGGTTTTCACTTGATTCAACATGCGCCAAAATGTCAAAGTGCACCGCAAGTTTTGTCGTCTATTTCCAGTTTCCAGCTACCAGCTACCGGCTTGCCGCTTCAGGATCTGCCAGGAGTAACTGCATTTCGCAGGACCTGCATTTCCTCCTCTGTGAAAATCGGCAACGTGGCACTTTCCACAACTCTTTCCTACTTTTTTTTTTGCTGCTGCCCATCTCACCTTGGGGAAAAGTCAAATTAACACAAATAATCCAAAAAGTCCTTGCCAAAGGGATTCACAAAAATGATGGATTTAAAAATAAGAATGGAAAATCACAGGCCATCAGCGGAAATCAAAATTAAATGCTTCACTAGATTTATTTGATTTCAAAATTGGAGCGAAAATCTCAAATGGAGGCTGGCAAACAAGCGATTGATTGCATTTGGTTGCAGTTTTTTGCACCCATTTTTAATTTCTCTAAAAAATAGACAAAACCGTACATATATGTATGTATAATCAACCAGTCGTTAGACGTTAAAAAAGCTAAAATATATATAGATATTCCCATGAAATGTAGGGTTTTCCTAATTTCCCCACTTCTGCTCCTTCGGATGTGCATATCTCTGCCAATTCGTATCAGATCAGGAAATAAAGTACCATTTAGTAATCAGTGAACCCAGAAGCTACTTTCCTCGTTCAAAACATTGCTTAAATATCGTTTTCAAATTTTTCGAAATTTTTCCTAGGGGTTCCCCTACAAAATTGTGGGTTTTCCTGATTTTCCCACTTTTGCTCCTTCCGATGGCCATAGCTCGTCCAATTCGTATCTGATCAGGAAATAAAGTACCATTTAGTAATCAGCGAACCCAGAAGCAACTTTCCTCATTCAAAACATTGCCTAAATGTGGTTTTTAAATTTTTCGAATTTTTCCCAGGGGTTCCCCTACAAAATTGTGGGTTTTCCTGATTTTCCCACTTTTGCTCCTTCCGATGGCCATAGATCGTCCAATTCGTATCCGATCAGGAAATAAAGTACCATTTAGTAATCAGCGAACCCAGAAGCAACTTTCCTCATTCAAAATATTGCTTTAAAACGCTTTTCAAATTTTTCGAAATTTTTCCCAGGGGTACCCCTACAAAATTGTGGGTTTTCCTGATTTTCCCACTTATGCTCCTTCCGATGGCCATAGCTCGTCCAATTCGTATCCGATCAGGAAATAAAGTACCATTTAGTAATCAGCGAACCCAGAAGCTACTTTCCTCATTCAAAATATTGCTTTAAAACGCTTTTCAAATTTTTCGAATTTTTTCCTAGGGGTTCCCCTACAAAATTGTGGGTTTTCCTGATTTTCCCAAATTTGCTCCTTCCGATGGCCATAGCTCGTCCAATTCGTATCCGATCAGGAAATAAAGTACCATTTAGTAATCAGCGAACCCAGAAGCTACTTTCCTCATTCAAAACATTGCCTTAATGTGGTTTTTAAATTTTTCGAATTTTTTCCCAGGGGTACCCCTACAAAATTGTGGGTTTTCCTGATTTTCCCCCTTTATGCTCCTTCCGATGGCCATAGCTCGTTCAATTCGTATCCGATCAGGAAATAAAGTACCATTTAGTAATCAGCGAACGCAGAAGCTACTTTCCTCATTCAAAATATTGCTTTAAAACGCTTTTCAAATTTTTCGAAATTTTTCCCAGGGGTACCCCTACAAAATTGTGGGTTTTCCTGATTTTCCCACTTATGCTCCTTCCGATGGCCATAGCTCGTCCAATTCGTATCCGATCAGGAAATAAAGTACCATTTAGTAATCAGCGAACCCAGAAGCGACTTTCCTCATTCAAAACTATGCTTTAAAACGCTTTTCAAATTTTTCGAAATTTTTCCTAGGGGTTCCCCTACAAAATTGTGGGTTTTCCTGATTTTCCCACTTATGCTCCTTCCGATGGCCATAGCTCGTCCAATTCGTATCCGATCAGGAAATAAGGTACCATTTAGTAATCAGCGAACCCAGAAGCTACTTTCATTATTCAAAAGATTGCCTAAATGTGGTTTTTAAATTTTTCGAATTTTTCCCAGGGGTTCCCCTACAAAATTGTGGGTTTTCCTGATTTTCCCACTTTTGCTCCTTCCGATGGCCATAGCTCGTCCAATTCGTATCCGATCAGGAAATAAAGTACCATGTAGTAATCAGCGAACCCAGAAGCAACTTTCCTCATTCAAAACATTGCCGAAATGTGGTTTTTAAATTTTTCGAAATTTTTCCTAGGGGTTCCCCTACAAAATTGTGGGTTTTCCTGATTTTCCCACTTTTGCTCCTTCCGATGGCCATAGCTCGTCCAATTCGTATCTGATCAGGAAATAAAGTACCATTTAGTAATCAGCGAACCTAGAAGCAACTTTCCTCATTCAAAATATTGCTTTAAAACGCTTTTCAAATTTTTCGATATTTTTCCCAGGGGTACCCCTACAAAATTGTGGGTTTTCCTGATTTTCCCACTTTTGCTCTTTCCGATGGCCATAGCTCGTCCAATTCGTATCCGATCAGGAAATAAAGTACCATTTAGTAATCAGCGAACCCAGAAGCTACTTTCCTCATTCAAAACATTGCCTAAATGTGGTTTTTAAATTTTTCGAAATTTTTCCCAGGGGTACCCCTACAAAATTGTGGGTTTTCCTGATTTTCCCACTTATGCTCCTTCCGATGGCCATAGCTCGTCCAATTCGTATCCGATCAGGAAATAAAGTACCATTTAGTAATCAGCGAACCCAGAAGCTACTTTCCTCATTCAAAACATTGCCTAAATGTGGTTTTTAAATTTTTCAGATTTTTTCCCAAGGGTACCCCTACAAAATTGTGGGTTTTCCTGATTTTCCCACTTATGCTCCTTCCGATGGCCATAGCTCGTCCAATTCGTATCCGATCAGGAAATAAAGTACCATTAAGTAATCAGCGAACCCAGAAACAACTTTCCTCATTCAAAACATTGCTTTAAAACGCTTTTCAAATTTTTCGAAATTTTTCCTAGGGGTTCCCCTACAAAATTGTGGGTTTTCCTGATTTTCCCACTTTTGCTCCTTCCGATGGCCATAGCTCGTCCAATTCGTATCCGATCAGGAAATAAAGTACCATTTAGTAATCAGCGAACCCAGAAGCTACTTTCCTCATTCAAAACATTGCTTTAAAACGCTTTTCAAATTTTTCGAAATTTTTCCCAGGGTTCTCCTACAAAATTGTGGGTTTTCCTGATTTTCCCACTTTTGCTCCTTCCGATGGCCATAGCTCGACCAATTCGTATCCGATCAGGAAATAAAGTACCATTTAGTAATCAGCGAACCCAGAAGCAACTTTCCTCATTCAAAACATTGCCGAAATGTGGTTTTTAAATTTTTCGAAATTTTTCCCAGGGGTACCCCTACAAAATTGTGGGTCTTCCTGATTTTCCCACTTATGCTCCTTCCGATGGCCATAGCTCGTCCAATTCGTATCCGATCAGGAAATAAAGTACCATTTAGTAATCAGCGAACCCAGAAGCAACTTTCCTCATTCAAAACACTGCTTTAAAACGCTTTTCAAATTTTTCGAAATTTTTCCTAGGGGTTCCCCTACAAAATTGTGGGTTTTCCTGATTTTCCCACTTTTGCTCCTTCCGATGGCCATAGCTCGTCCAATTCGTATCCGATCAGGAAATAAAGTACCATTTAGTAATCAGCGAACCCAGAAGCAACTTTCCTCATTCAAAACACTGCTTTAAAACGCTTTTCAAATTTTTCGAAATTTTTCCTAGGGGTTCCCCTACAAAATTGTGGGTTTTCCTGATTTTCCCACTTTTGCTCCTTCCGATGGCCATAGCTCGTCCAATTCGTATCCGATCAGGAAATAAAGTACCATTTAGTAATCAGCGAACCAAGAAGCTACTTTCCTCATTCAAAACATTGCCGAAATGTGGTTTTTAAATTTTTCGAAATTTTTCCTAGGAGTTCCCCTACAAAATTGTGGGTTTCCTGATTTTCCCACTTATGCTCCTTCCGATGGCCATAGCTCGTCCAATTCGTATCCGATCAGGAAATAAAGTACCATTTAGTAATCAGCAAACCCAGAAGCTACTTTCCTCATTCAAAACATTGCCGAAATGTGGTTTTTAAATTTTTCGAAATTTTTGCTAGGGGTTCCCCTACAAAATTGTGGGTTTTCCTGATTTTCCCACTTTTGCTCCTTCCGATGGCCATAGCTCGTCCAATTCGTATCCGATCAGGCAATAAAGTACCATTTAGTAATCAGCG